GTCCATCTCGACATTAAAGGCAAGAGCCTACACGTGAAGCATTGCAAAATGGAAAACTTGCCACAGCAACGCTCTAGCTAGGAATTCTGGAATTTTTACATCAATACACAAAAATGAAACTTCGGTTTTTAGTTCCCTCTTTGTTTTAATTTTAAAAAAATAGCGAGGAATCTCTTTGTTTGGTTCTTTCTTTAAAAAAATTTTTTTTGTAATGGGAGTAGAATCAGCAGCTCTAATAATGTCTCCTTTGTGCACATGCAGCATCATCTCCATTCCTATTGTGTCCTTGTCTTGAGTACCACCCTGTAGGCTTTGGTATCTCATGGTTCAATTTTCAGATGTACATATGTGTTTTAAAAGCTATAGTATACCTGTCTAGTGCTCTACTAGAGAAAAACAAAAATTACAAATTTCAGAGTCGAGTACTCCTAAGTTCAAACCCAGGATTCAACACTAATTGGTTGGGTCATCTTCGTTATTTAGCATCTTAGAACCTCAGTTTTGCCATCTGTAAAATGGGAATAATGATGGCAACCGTAGAGGGCTTTGGTGAAAGCACACTCTCTGTTCCTCCCTCCTTTTTGTCTTTTACATGGATATAATTGGCCTAAAAAGTGTATCTAATCTCTTACTGAACAATTTGGTCCTCTCCTCTTTCAAAAATGCCAAGAAAAGGAACTAAACAGATATACATGTCTCATTTAAGGACTCAAAGATTTGTCCCTAAAAGCAACCTTAAAAGCAAGCATAATCTGAGAACATTTCAGGAAACTTAGAGCAGCCTCTTTCTCATTCTGCTTTTTTGCACTTTCCTTCTATTTCTTTCCCTTTTGTCCTCCCTACAAACCACTTTGGTAAAATGTACACGGACAGCCCACAGCTCCCATTGCTCCTCTGTCCCGGAATCAACTCTGTCCAGACCCCGGCTTTGGATCTGTGAGTGACGCAAGAAGCTGTTTTTGGCCTCAGGAATGTTTTCCTCTATGTTCTGACTCCTCTCTTGTTGTCCTTCTCTCCTCCCCATTTCTTCTCCACCTCTTTTCCCCAGACACCCCCATTGGTTTCTCTCTTCCTGTTTTCTTAGTTTCTTCCCCTCTCCTTGGTGGCCAAGGCACTAATCGATCACCACCGCTGTCACAATCAGTTCTCTCTGTGGCTCCTCTATCTCCACGATAAAACAAGACAGGAGCGGCCTTTCCAACAGGCAGACATCTCCACAGTAGCCTGTGGGAGGCTGCCTGGCGCGTCTAGTCTGCCAATAAGAGCATTTCCTTACAGCTGCAAGGGCTTGGGAGGGCCAACGACAGCGAGCTGCATGGCTTGCCGGTGACACACTTAAGTTGTTTTGCTTTGCGAAAACGGGAAAATTCTGATAAATTCCAGATGATTTCAAAACACATTTGAGGGTCAGATATACAAAAGGCAGATAATATCTGAATTAGGTAAGTACAAGTTGATGCACAAATCTCTATTTAGGTCCAAACATCTTGCAGATTAAAAGCCTTTCAATTTGACAATTCCCAGTTAGGGATGATAAAAATTGAACTTTGCTCTCCTTAAACCCCAAGCCGTTATGAGACGAGAGGGTTCACTCAAAGTTGAAGCTGAATAGCTAGTAAAAAGCAGAGGGAAAAGTGCATTATGACTGAGCATTGGAAGGATATTTAACCCAGTTAAGAACCTGCAATATTTGGAAAGACAAAAAAAAAATAATAAGTGTATGAAAGATACGCATCAGTGTGTCTGCATGAGTGCTGTGTCTTCACAACATAATTGTACACAACATCTGTCCATCATTCCTGTGCTAGGAAGACAGGTTCCTCTTGGTGCTGAAGGGGCCAAAGCAGTTTTTGGTCTTACATGCTTTATCCTGTGATCTACGTTGGTCAATGTTCTCAAAGATTATTGAGCAGCATGGCTATATGCCTAAGTAAAACTTAGGCCTTTCATTTGTTGCATGTTACTAAACCTAGATCTTCTTTTTTCCTTTTGTTCTCCCACCTTTTAATTTGAAATTCTCAAACCTACAGAAAGCCAAAAGAAAGCATAAAAGAACACTAATGTACCTACCTTCACCAATAGAACACTCTCTTATATAACAGTAGTGCCATTCATACTCCCAAGATACCTACTTAAAAAAAAACAACAACAAAAACCTGACTTGAGCATATACAGAGCCGTTACTTCTAGGGCTCACGTGTGAAGGGATGTACTTAGAGAGGTGGAGAATGTCCAAATCAGCTTCCCACTTCAGCATCACTGACATTATCTCACCTCTTTGGGAGTCCAAGTTATGTTTCTTTTATCTTTCCTCTCTCCTTCCTTTTTTTTTTTTTTTTTTTGCGGGGCGTGGATGGGTGAGTGTTGGAATCAAAATGTCAATTTTTTTTCTTTCAGTGGCAAAACTAGATGGAAGAGTTTGGTGGAACTTCGGCCCTTCTTCCCTGAGCCGAGATGGTGGGATCCCCCTGGGGGAGGGGGAGGGGGAGGGGGGATTTGTAATGCAGCCTGCAAAGACCTTGAGAAACACCACTTCCAGCAGGGATTACAGGCCCGCCTTCCAGTAAGTTAGTGCCAGACCGAGGGAGGGGGCCTGGAGGGGGCAGGGCCCTGTGAGCCTTGCTGGCTGCCCGACAGACACTGGGAACAGGAGACGTGGCCGATCTGAGAGGAAGCCTGGGCCAGGAGCGGAATTACACTCTCTCTTCTTTCCTGGTAGCTGCCCTCCCTGAAAGTCTTCTTGCTTTATGAAATTAGTGTGGACAGATTTCCTCCAGCAGGGAAAACACACAGAGAAATTCCTGCTTCTCCCTCTGTCCCATCTCTTTGTTATAATAAGGGCAACAACTCTCCTAATCATGAATAAATTCAGGTTTACAGGTCACAGTGGCAGAGTCAGGGTTAGTCTGTCAGTGTTACAAACACTGAAAAGGCCCCCCACCCCCACCCCAGATTAAAATAAAAAATATTGTCTTTGTTTGCCATCTTTGTACTGTTTAACATGAGTATTTCAACAGTCTTTATTTTTCAAACATGCAAACAGAAGAGAGTGATCTGACCCACAGTATATTGACATACCATGTAGCTATAACCTTGAGATAAAAAGTAAAGGAAAAAGTCAAAACAGCTCGAACCAAATACTAACACAAACGAGTCTTTCTTCAGCCCAGACCCCTGCCTCTGTAACAAGGGAACACGCCAGCATTAGCACACACTGGCCGTGGTGCACACACGCAGTTCTAGACGGGGGCAGACGCAGGGGGCCCCAAATGTGTAGCTGGGAAGTCGAGTGTATTCATTAATTAATTCAACAAGTGTGTACTAGGATCGATTCTGGGCTAGACATGATTCTAGGCGTTGGGGATGTCTTATACATGGAAGGGATTTATAAGACTCACAAGGTCTCTGCTCTTGTGGAACTTCCGGTGGCATTAGAATAAAAAATCAGGGGCTATACTCTCAGTGTTGAGAGGAGATGGAAAATAATAGCTATAGCAGAAAGCCTGAGCTGGCTTCCTGGCTTCTGTATATCCAGGAAAGCAACTGCTTCAAAATCTGGGTCACCCAGGGTGGAATGGCTACTAAAGACAGAAAGATGGAAAGGAAAAAGCAGAGAACCAAAGAGAAACTTCTCTCCTCACTGTATGTCAGAGGGTCCTTTGGGAGCTCTTACCAAACTAGTGAGGAAGAGGCAAACCTATTGTCTGCAAGACAACAGGTCAAAGAAACATGAAGACTGTTCCTTCGTCCCACATGGAAAGGACTCCAAGGATGGAATGGCCCGACGAGATAGCAGGTAGCTTCCCAAGCGTCTCTGCTATCGCATGCCCAGTGCTGAGCATTTTACGTGGACTGGCTCATTTAATCCTCACAACCACCACCTGGTGAGACAAACATTAATTGTATTCCCATTTTCCACATGAAGAACAGCCCTAGAAGAGCTAAGTAACTTGCCCTTACCCAAGGACACAAACCTGGTAGGTAGTGAGACCAGAACAGGACCCCAGCTCTGTCCGACTCCACAATCCATATTCTAAACCACCGCATGTCCATCCATAAAATTATTTTTCTTTATTTTATTTAAAGAAAAAGAAAAAAGGCATGAAGATTGTATAGGAAATTTAATCAGATAGCTTCAGAAAGTGGTCTGTGTTTTCCAGATGTTTGTCTTGGAAGAGACAGTCAGACATGCCCTCTGAGTCACAGCAAATACACACCACTTTCTCAAGTGCATGAGAAATTAAGAGATGAACTTCTGCTATTGCTCCGACGTACATAAGCCTGCCATCTAAAATCTGAATTACAATTCAAGAATGGAGATCAGTATTTTATTCAATTAATGAATTACTCCTCGAAGTTTATTTTACCACTGCATGCATTTCCACCTTTGCATTTTACTTGATAATTGAATTAATAATGAAATAATTAAGGTGAAGCTGGTTCAGTGAAAACAATGCAGAAATTCATAATGAAGCTTATGCATAATCCTATATAAAAAAAATCCAAAATAATTATATTAGAATTGAACTTTGAAGGAAATTGACTTTGTTTTGTGGGAAATTGTGCTGGGAATGTGGATCTATTGTGCACAAAGGATGTTGGCTTTATGCTGGAACCACCAGACAGGTTGAGTTGAGAAACAATTAGCTCAGTCAGCAAGCCTTTCAATCTGATTAAGCCAGGAAGTGGTCACTCCCCAGGACAGAGCAGAATGGAGGGAATGGAGGTGGGAGCCCATAACGAGGAACAACTTCTCTCTCTCTCTCTCTGAAGTAAACTAGTATTAGAATTTATTGTGTCAAATTTATGTTGAGGATTATTTCACTACATTTGATCATGACTTCACAAAAACAAATACAATCTTGCTTCCAAGTAGATCAACAGTCCGCATGTGTCATGGCTACGGTCTCCAAGAAACTTCTGTTTATTGAGGCCTGAAATACTCTCATGTTTTGGTAACAAAACATCTTTGAGACCCAGGACCCAAGTCACTGAGGAAAATGCAGGGCTTATACCAGGCTGCTGGCTGGATTCTCGTGACTCTGGGGGCTCTCAGTGTAGTCTCTGGAGTTATTGCTTTCTTCCCAGTCTTTTCCTACAAGCCTTGGTTCACAGGATGGAGTGTCTGGATTGCTTGTCCCATCTGGAATGGAGCTTTGGTAGGAAAATTTTTTTATTACTTATGTTAAGAAAATAGAGGAAAGTCGAGGTGGGAGGGGAAGAGGAAACAGAAGAACATATCCTTTTTAAGTTTTTCGACAATATGAAGACATCAAAATTCTAAAGAAAATCAGATTTTACCTGACAACCCTGATTTCTAATAGTTTAGTTATCTTTTAAATATGAGATTTTCTTAATATCATTCAATCATCTATACTATACTATACTATATTATGTATACTATAATGAAATGCTGATCAAGACATTCTTAAAATGTTCTTTTATTTTAATCTTCTTAACCTTAATATTCTGAGAAATTGGAATTTCTCTTTTGAAATTTGAACTGAGAAAAGTATAATCCATGAAAAAGAATTTTTAAATGAAGAACAAATTAAAATAATTTTCAGATTAATGCTTTTATTGGAAACACTGAGCTGTGTTTACATGACCCAAAGGTTTGCAAGACCAAAGTCTGAATTCTCCCATCTTTTTCTTTGCATACAACTGTTGGAACTGAAAATAACTGAAGAAGGTGGGTGATGGACTTCACTAACTTCAGGCCTCACTAGGAAAGTGTGCACGATCACATGATTGAAGGATGACAGCACTGGTGTCTAGCTCCCTGGGTCAAAGAAAGGGACACCCCTCACCTCAGGAGTAGGTGGCTTGATTGAAGAGGCGTTACAGAGGCTTAACGACCCAACAAATACTTCTCTCATTGTTTCTCAGGATGCCTGACATTCATTGCTGGAGACTAGACAGTTCAAATTTGAAGCCTTTTGATCTTAAGAAGTTTTCTATTAAAATGTAGCTACTCCCAGGAGGGGCAATATTTCAAGTCTTTTAAAAAAATGGAACTTGAACTGGGATATCATCTAAAAGCCAAACCCTAGGAAATATTGTAGTCTATTTATTCAATATATATGTATTGATTGCCTCCTACACGCTTGAGCTGCAGGGAGAATAGAACAAGTTCTCAATACTAAAGGAACTCGGTCTAGTGGGGTTTAATGATGTTGAGCATCTGAGGGGAAGGGGATGGTCCTTTGAGAGCGTGGAACTGAATAAGGAAACCATCTGATGGTATTATGCTTTTCTTTATTTAATACATTCTATTACAACCACCACCCAAGTCTTGAACCTCCACTCTTTTCCCTAACACCTACCCCAAACCGTACAGTCATTCAAAGAAATGTTTATTAGGCATCTACTAGAATGTAGAAATGGCAACTACATTTATACCAGCAACTTCCAAACTTTTGTTAGTGACCCAGGATAAGAAAAACATTTTATATCAGGACCTGGAACCTACATAAATACATCTATGTATTTCTCTCAGGGTAAGTAGATAGATATTGATATATAGATAGACAGAGCTACAGATATATATAGATCTATACAACAGAAGTTTCACAAAACAAGACAACCTTCTGTGTGAAGTGAATTCTGATATTTTGTTTTTCAAAATTCAGACTTTACAACTGACCCAAAGTCTAACAAAACAATGATTACTGCCCAACCGTGTGTCCCTTTCTTGTAATTCTTTGCCTATCCCTACAGAATCTGTCATAAATACGGTCAACAGATATTAGTGATTTGATTAAATTCACAAATTATTGAGTATATACTTGTTCTACATCAAACATCTATATGACCAATCGGGCCCAGAGAAATGGTATGATAATATCTCTAGCCCAGATATATTGGTGGCTTTTTTATTTTGAGGGTGACAGCAAGAGGAAGTAGAGTCAGAGAGTTAGGATTTGGGGAGGTGCCATTTCCCTTTGACATTCTTGGTAGGTGGTCAAGATTTCAGGGCCCTTATGCAGCCAGTTCCTCATTGCCTTTACCTGTAGAAAGGGGAATTTCACAGGTACAGAGAGCATGTGAAACTGTCTAACCCTAAGGTACTCAGAGAGAATGAACACAATTTGAGCAAAGACTGTATAATAAAGAGCTCTGCCAGTTTTAAAGCCCTACACAAATGCTAGTTAATACCATGCCTTTCATTTATGTCCTACTCTGTGTCCAAACCCTTTGTTCTTAATCCCTTGCCACCTGCCTCACTCTCCCATTCCATTCCCTGGTGACCTTCTGAGTTCCTCATCCTGTTACCTCCTAGACCTCCTCTCCTGCCACTCTTCTCTTAGCTCATTTCTTTCCTTGTTGTTTTCAAACATGCCAAGGTGCGTTTCTGCCTCAGGGCCTTTGCACTGCCAGTTCTCTGCCTGAAGCCTCTTCCCCCACACAGCTTGTTTCCTAACTTCCTACAATTCTTGAAACAAATGTCACTTTCTCACTGATGCCTTCCATCATTACCCTATTTAAAACTGCAAACCTCCTCAACTGGCATTCTCAATCTCCCATACTCTGTTCTATTTTCCCCCTAGCCCTTAATACCATCTAATATGCAATTATTTTTGTTTTGTTTTTATTTTTTATTGTAGTATAGTCAGTTTACAATGTTGTGTCATTTTCTGGTGTACAGCATAATGTTTCAGTCATACGTATACATATGTATATTTGTTTTCATACTCTTTTTCACTATAGGTTACTGCAAGATATTGAATATAGTTCCCTGTGCTATATGGAAGAAACTCGTTGTTTATCTATTTTATATATAGTAGTTAGTATCTGCAAAACCTGAACTCTCAATTTATCCCTTCCCACCCCCTTCCCCACTGGTAATCATGTTTGTTTTCTATGTCTGTGAGTCTGTTTCTGTTTTGTAAGTGAGTTTATTTGTGTCTTTTTCTTCTTAAGATTCCACATATGAATGATATCATACAGTATTTTTCTTTCTATTTCTGGCTTACTTCACTTAGAATGACGATCTCTGGGTCCATCCATGTTGCTGCAAATGGCGTTATTTTATTCTTTTTTTAAGGAAATATATACAATACAGTTGACTTACTTATTGTTTGTTTGTCCCCTTCCCTCCAAATGTAGAATGTACAAAGGCAGGATTTTTTTCTATCTTATTCAGTGCTATATCTTCATCACTTGAAACAAAGTGAGTAAGTAACATATAAGGTATTCAATAAATACTGCTTGATAAATGTTGTTGAATGAGTGGTGAATCCTATGCTCACTATTCTGATAGCACACAATTCCTAATACAGTAGAACTCTGATTAGGTTGCAAAGACTGAAGGTCAAGCTGGTATTTACACTAAAGCAGGAAAAAATCCTCATGAGAAGGAAAGCAATAAGAACGCTCACTCTTTCAATAACGTCTAAATTTGGAACAATGTGATTTTTTTCTTCTCCTAGTGATAAGTTTGCTAGTGAACCACAGCTCTGACTGATCAGGGTTAACTTCAAAATGTCTCTGACTCATCCTACAACCTTCTTTTTCAACCTGCCTGCAAAGTGTGTCTTCCTCTGGTGGAAAGATAATTTGTACATTTCAACAATACTTTCTTTTGAAAATGACTCTGTATCTCTTTTGAGATTGGAAGAGATAGATCTTTAGAAGTGATGCATACTTGGTATTTTTTCGGTGACTTTCATTCAAGGCTTTCTAAATTCTTCTCAAATACTGGTCCTCAGACTCTCCGAGCTCTGTTCTGACAGCCACATGAAAGAGTTTTCCTAGGATTTCTGAATCAGGTTATTTAAAGGCATCAGCTGCTACGAAGTATGCAGCAAGGAGATCATAGTGCCTTAAGGACTTAGCTCTACTTTAATCCTGGAAAACCTGGCCTGTAAATCAAGCTCTGATGAAGAGACTGCAGTACAGTGAGTTTAAATCCAGGACCTAAAGTCTGGAGGGTCCAGTGACTCGGCCAATGGTGAGCAGCAGTGCTGCACCCAGAATCCTTCTGGGAGGCAAGAATTGTGGAGAAAGGTCGAGCCAGACTTACCCATGCAAGCTCCAGTTTCTTCATCCACTAGAGAAGGGACTTGGTTGCACTGTTGCTCAAGTCTCTTATAACTTCAACAGTCCTGTGATTTCCAGCAAACTGATGGTCAATTTTCCACTCAGATATCCTAGCTTCGAAACTGAACTTGTCCAAAGATGTAATCATCTAACCACCAAAAGCAATTATTTCTTCTCCTGACTTCCCACTCTTTGAACCCAATTTCAAACCCTGGAATGAATTTTGACTCAATCCTTTCCTCTAAACTAGTGTTTCTCAAATTGACATGTGTGTATAAATCATATGGGGATTGTGTTAAAACGCAGGCTCTGATTCAGTGAGTCTAGGGTGAGGCTGAGATTCTGCATGTCTGACAAATTCCCAAGGGAAGAGATGCTCCTGATCTTTAGGACTGTGCTTAAGGCAGCAATTCCCTAAACCAGCCCACCTCAGCCCCACTCCCACCCCATCACATCCAATGAGTTGCCAAGTAACTTTTGTTTTTCCTACAAAGTATATCCCTATGCCTTCCTTCTTCTTCTTTTTCACTGTGCAGCCCCCTCCCCCAACTCCATCCCACTTCCCACCCAACCTCGACCCAGGTTTTACAGTTCAATAACTCTGATAGCCAAACTGTGGGAATCTATGTATTGGTGGGTTATAAAATCAATCTATTGGGTAGTTAGCAGCATTTAAACCATGAATAGAAAAGAATAGAGAATATTAGAGTGTATCATACATAATAAGGTTATTATTATTTTGGTTAGATATAAAAATATTTCCAACTTGCAAAATACGTCTCTTACTGTGGGTAGGGGTTTGAAAAAAAAAAAATCTTGAAGACCAAGGTCCTACAGAGCCCTCTAGGCCTCACTCCATTCCAGTCCAGCGTGCGTGCAACAACAAGCCCATCTTTCTAAACCTCAGCTGCGTCAGTCTGGCCCCTCCTTCAGAAACCTTCAGTGTTGCTTCATCGTCCAAAGTTCAGATATGTGAGCCTGGATTCTGAGGCCCTCCTCATCTGGCCTCTTGTCCTGCTCCTCCCTGCCCAGCACCGACCCTCCCGCACGTCTGGGCTCCTCTGTCACTGTTCCCCAAGCACGACGGCCACAGTGCCCTGCGCCCTTGCTGCTCCTGCTGCCTGGACCACCCTTCCCTCTGCCGTCTCCCAGTGAAATCACATCCATCCTTCCAATCTGCTCCGAGCCCTCCATGCCTTCATCAGCGATGGTTCCCCCTGGAAGTGATATCTTGTCACTGCGTTCTTCTCACACAGAAAGCACTCGCGCTTGCCTAAGGTTATGGACGTTCTTCTATGACATTCCTTTCACATCTGAACTGTAAATTCCATTGAGAGTTGGAGCCAGTATTTGTGTAGTTGTTGCTGGGTGAGCTTGCTCGTCATATTCAGCCTTTCTGTACCTCATTTGAAAAATAAGCAGATCTGCAGTCTAGGGCTATTCATTATGAGAATGAAGTGACTTAACCCACGGAGTGTCTGGTACAGTGCCTGGCACGGAGGAAGTGCTCGGTTAGTGTTAGATGCTGTTACATTACTCCCTCCGCACAGTGCTTAGCACATCCCTTCTTCTCAGTAGACCCAAAATAGATGTCTGTTAAGTGAACAAATTCACCCATATTATAATAATTCCTCTGAAGGTTCCTATTTCTGTTGTGACTGCTCTCTGCTTCCTTCAATTCATTTGCTTCTGGGAACGGCGTCCTTTACTGGGGCAATTTAAAAATTTAGTGGGAGGGTTCACAATTATCACGGAGAATGTTAGCAGCAACTTTTGTAAAACCCAAGTAACGTCCTTGGAACTGCCCTCAGAGCAAGTCAGTAGACTGTCAAGGAGAGCTGGGGAGGGTGGGGGTGGGGGCTGGGGGGTGTGGGGCAGGGCCTCCCCTCTGCACGCACACCCTCCCCGAGCACGGCCTCCCCTCCGTCCTTCCTCACAATCCGACCACCCTATGCTGCCCAGCTTCTCAGCTCTCAGACACTCCCACATTTCCTTTTCCCACTTGACTTCTCTTCCCTACCCTCAAATCTCTTCCTTTTTTTTAATTCTTTCCCCCTTCTCTATCTAAAAATAATTTTTTTAAAAAAATGAAAGAAAGAAAAGGAAAATCCTGTGACTCTTGAGGGAACACCCGCACTCCATCTCCCACAGGCAGCTGAGCACCAGTAAAGATGGGTGTGCTGGTCTCGGGGTGGATTTAACAAGTTACTGAACAGCATTCATATGCCGGCCTACCCCATGAAACATCTTTTTCAAAGTTTTGGGTAAACAAAGCAAAATTCAAGCTGGCAGTTACAACAGAAATAACAGGCAACTGCAATTCTGCAGGATTTTTCAACTTTCAAAAGGAAAGAAACAGTTTGTGCCAAAGCAATGAAGGCAACCTAGAATCTCCGCATCTGATAATGTCGGCTATCTACTTGGACTTAAACCAGCAGTGGCGTCTCCTTTGCTTTTTGTCCCGTTTGTCTTAGTGTTTCTCTCTCACAGGGGACTGACGTGTCCATCAAGTGCTTTGCCTTAAGCAGAGACTGGCCCCAGGCTTACCATCAGCACTACAGTTGATCTTAATAATTCTCCTGTTTTGTTGGACTATTTATGCTGGCTCAACTTCCATAGTGTCCCTTGGAAACTTTGCTCTTGCAGAATCAAGCCAACCTCTTGACTACAGATGGTTCCGTTTTTGTCCACAGGAGTTTTATGGTATGGCGATGCCAAGCCTGGAATTTCAAGCTTAGCTCCATGAGAAGTTTTGTGTGAGTGGATGTGTGTGTGCTTTTTCTCCCTTGCTCTCAAATTCTCTAAATCCAATATTCAAAATAGAATACGCCAGGAAAATGAAAAGCTAGGTCTCAAAACAATACATCTGCCAGAGCCGGAGCTACAAAAAGCAGCAACCCACAAAACCAGATTGGTAAAAGCTCTGACTTTTCCCCCTTAAATTTGTTGATATTATACATACAGTCATGCTTATGTCTCTGTCAAAAACCTAACTTGTAACTATTTTTAGTCCTGTCCTCATCCTATATCTTATTTCAGGCACATCTCTTCCTGGTTTTCTCTCTCAACCTCAAAACATTCCTTGACCAGGAACAAATGATTTATGGGTTGGGAGTAAGCAATTTCCAGACTCAGTCACCACAAAGGTCTCCATCAGACCTGGTGCCGAATCGAAGATGCGCCCAGAATTTTTTTTCACTATCCATTGCTCAGTTCTGCTGACACCATTCCCTCCTTTGTTGAACTATTTCAGTCTGCACTTGGGGCCTTTTTCTTCCACGGAGACTATAAAGAACTCTTTTTTTTTTTTTTTTGAAAAGCTGAACGCGACTGCCCCAGTACAATAAATGCCCCATCCTGCATTCATCCTAATGATGATCTTTATTCCCAGAGTAACAGGGATCACAGATTTGCAACCCACTAGCAGGCTGAGGCTGCAGAATCTCAAAAGAAAGCAAATTGTAAAAGATGCTGGGAGGGTTTTCCGGGACCTGTGACACGTTTCCATTCCAGTTCTTCCCATTTGTAGTTTTATCAATATGTGAGAAAGAGGAACATTAGACGGCTCATCAAAACAAGACATATGGCAAGGGTTATCAAGCCCCACTTTGACTGCAGTGACATCTTACAGTGGTAAAGGCCATAATTGTGATGGCAAAGGCAACACAGGAAATCCAAAAAGGAGCTTGTATGAATCATGTCTCTGTGACACTGATGGCTTTGTTTCCTCATTGTCATCACGGATGAGGTGACGCTCAGAGCCGTAAATCCATTTGGCCACTTGCTAGTCCTTCTAGCTCATGATAAAGTTGTCAAACTGTGAGACAGATTGGGCTCCTTCCAGAGGCGCCTTCAGTCATAGCTGTTGTTTTCCCACTTTCCTTTCACAGGCCATCACGACCGGTGTCCTCCTACTGCTGGCTCACAGACAGTGGATCCAGAGATACCTGGTAAACTTCTAGACATCGAGTAGAATGATGGAGGGAGTTTGAAGGTTAGATCTCTACTGGAACACAGAGAATGTGGTTTCCAATTAGAATTGAATTCTAATCGATCTTTACAAGAAGGATGCCAGTAATAAACTATATTTTAAGTGGATAATTTTTATCTGATACCTGCTCCAAACATTTTCTACAAGTTCCTGTGATTATTGTATTCAAGTATTGTAGTCTGGCGAGGACAGAGCCAGAATTAGTGTTCCTGAATTTCATTTTGAAGAAATGAGTCTATAGGCTCCTCTATTTTTAACAATGCATTTTCGAGCCTCAATTTCTCAATCTGGAATCTCCTTCCAATCTCTCTGGTACAACCTCCCCAAAAAAGGATGAAAATTCTATACTATCTTGCATTTCAACAGTATAGAGCCAAGCAACCCCATGGGACAGAAAGACTACCATGGTCTGATTATAGATCTTCCTGTGGCCACAGCAGTGCTTCTCAGACTTTAATGTATGTGTGAATCACCTGGGGAACCTTGTTAAAATGCAGATTTTGATTCAGTAGGTCTGGCTGAGGCCTGAGATTCTATGTTTCTAACAAGCTCCCAGGGGATGTGAGTCCTCTGGGACCCTGGACCACACCCTGAATAATAAGGTCCTAGGGTAAGGCAGGAATTTGGTTTACTCATCTTTGTTTTTCCCACCCTAGTTGGTTGATAAGTTATTCTCCATAGTGAAGGTTCAAGAGGAGGACCAAAGGGCCTAAAGAGAAGTCTGTAAGCCATCTCTCCTTCATCTCCTAGTACGAAAGATGAATACCCAGCGTCTCTCTCTTTCCTTATATTGCTAAGAAACTTCTGAAAAAACTAGCTCCCAAAGTAACGATTTGTTTCTGCTTCACTTTCAGTGGGAAGCTGGTTTCACCTTTGTGATTCTGAGCATTATGGGATGTCCACTCCATTTTGCAGTAGCCTTGAAATCCGCTCTCCTTGGCCCGTATTGCTTCTACTCTTTTTCCGGAATTGCAGGGACCAATTACCTGGGTTATGCAGTTGCCTTTCCCTTTCCGTATACAAGATTCCCGTCAGTTTGTGTAGACCCACCTCACTATGAAGAGTACCACCTGACGCTGCAAGCCTTTGACCTGTGCCTGAGTTTTACCATGCTATGTGTGTCCTTGACATCATTCATCACACTTTCTGCAAGACTGATCCGAGATGGGCACATAAATGTAAGTTTCCAGAGAGGGGGAGCCAGTCCTTGTTCCATCCCCTGTACCTTGTAAAACCAAAATTCTTCTACTTCTACCCTAGCCAAGAGACTAATGAATGCCAACCTCAGATTTAGCTTTCCAACTTTTTCCGAGAGGACGATAATACTATTAATGATATGATAAAAATAGAAATATGAACTGAATATTCACCGTGTGTCAGTAGACTACCCTTTTTGCAGGTAGTAAATGGAGGCTAATGAGTTTATGTAAGTTGCCCAAGGTCGCACAGCTAATGAGCAGTAGGGTCAGATTCAGAACCCAGAGCTATTTCTCTTAATCGGGCCATATTTATCATGGGCTCTCTCCTCACTCACCTTGTATCCTCTCATCCTCTGCTAAACCATTAAGATGTAAGGCTCTGGCCTCCAGGAGGATTAGAGCAAGGTCCCGGGGGGTATAGCTCAAATGATTTCTGATTCCAAATTCCTGTGGTCAATACTGGGTCCCTCCTTTGGAGGCTGAACAGCCAGCCTCCCTCTGAAAAGAGATATTTCCCACTGCAAACTCTTATACTGACTTTATGATTCAAGTTAGGATTATATTAGGGTCAAGTGAGTTTGGGTTATAGTAGCCGATTTTTCCCCAGTTTCATCCTATCAACACCAACCAGTAAAGCTAGAAGACAAGAAGTTGGCACTCTCAATGCCTTTTGTGGTCAGCCTTGTCCTCTTCAACTTCTACATAAATCTGCAAAGGAAATCCTGTACATTCTTAACAACAGAGCTGATTTTACAAGGAGCCCGCCGACCAAAATCACCTCCCCACTGTACTGCCAGGACATGAAGTTTAGTATTTGAGATTTCTCCCTCTTGGCAAACATCCTAACTTTCTAGAACTGTTTGTTAAAAAGAACATAGGAGAACCACACACTCGTGTTGACATTCATGACCTCTCAGCACAAGTGCTAATCACTGTCACCTTAAGTATGGCCCCCGTAACTTTGAGGTTTAATGTAGCATGGAGGATAGGGAGAAAAGAATGAAAAAAATATATATATGCAGAGCTTGGTAAGCCAGCCCCATGGAAACCCAACAGTGAGGCCACCTAAAGTGCCTGAGAGAGAGAAAATTAATTAGAAAGCAGAGACCAGTTCTCTGACTTCAGGGTTTGGACTCTGCGCAACTTGCTCAGAACACTTTCTTGGTGTGTGGTTTCTAAGCTAGGTGTAGGACCCACAAGATGTTCCCCAAAGTGGATCAAAGACATCGGAATCACCCAGGGTCCCTGTGAAACCAGATTTCTGGATCCTTTCCAGGTCCATTCCCACTGTGTCAGAAACTCGGGTTGGAGGCAGGGAACGTACATTTTTAACACATGCCCCAGGAGATTCTGATGAAAACTCCCTTCCTAGCTCAAGATTCACTTAGTGTCGCTTCTGGACAGAATCTCAGTTTTCCCATCTGCATAAAATGCAGCACTAGTATGGTGAAAGTTCTAGATAAATTTAATAAGCATGTCATTGGTAAGCATTTTTGGATGACCTGACACCACTTAATCCATAGTGGTGGCTGATCATGTCTCATTAGCGAGGATGAGTGGCTGACATAATGGAACATGATGTTCTGTATTAATAAATACACCACTGCTGCCCTGAGCCCTAAAGGAGCATGTGCAGCCTGAAAAAACCTTTGTTACTATGCAGAAATCTCAGCTACTTTAGGTACAATTTCCAGCAGTGAAATAAATGCATTGTTTATCAAAATTCTAGAAAACACACAATTTTCTTAGAAGAAACAGTAAATCGTTTGTTGAGACACCGAATTCTACATAGTGATTTTGTGTCTAATGAACCTCCATGTAGTTATGCTGTTAGATTCCCTACATGCTGAAAGGGTTAAGTAATATTTTGAAAATTTTATTTAAAACTGTAATAAATAGTGCAAATTATGCTGCTGATCACATCCTTCTCATAGAAACGAAACACTGAAAATGCTTTTAAAAGCTGTCATCTTATGTGTCTGCTTTAAAATTGAAATTCTCTTGTGTAAATGTAGTACATAGTAGGAAACTCAAGACCTATGAAAATTTGTAAAAAAGAAAAAAGTGATGGTTTGAAGGGAAATTTGGAGGAAATTGTAGTTGTACTGTATTGTAAAACAAAATCCATATGTAACAGTCAATATTATGACAGAAAATATTCACTTCCAAGAATTTTAGTCCATTAGTTCAAAAACATTTTTGGAAATGAATCAAATATCCCCTTAGGAATAACCACATTCATTATGTAGAATTGAAGTTATCTTGGGTCCCAGTCAGCTCAAGCTGCTATAACAAAATGCCATAGACTGGGTGGTTTAACCAACACACATTGATTACTCATGATTCTAGAGGCTGGAAGTCCAAGACCAAGGTGCCAGCATGGTTGGTTTGGGGGAAGTTTTTCTTTCTGGCTTGTAGATGGCTGCCTTCTCACTGTGTGCTCACATGGCCTTTCCTGTGCCTGCTCCTGGAGAGAGGAGTGATCTCTCTGTCTCTTATTCTTATAAGGACACTAATCCCGTTATGGGGGCCCCCACCCTCATGACCTCATTTAACGTAGTTACCTCCCAAATGACTTACTTCCAAATACCATCACAGTGGGGATTAGGGTTTCAACATATGAATTGGGGGGAGGGGGACACAGTTGACAGCATCTCATTAAAGATCACACAGTGATGGTGTGTAAGCATGCAGTTAACTGGTACTCAACTGAAACTAGAGTGGGAAGTGCTTGAAAGAGGCATGAAGGGTTTTGACAAACATTCACAAAAGCATGGTGTGAGTGCTAGGGACTGAATGTTTGTGTCATCCCCAGATTTTACATTGGCACTCTAACCCCCACCGTGATGGTATTAAGAGATGGGGCTGTTGGGAGGTAATTAGGTTTAGATGAGGACATGAGGGTAAAGCCCCCATGATGGGGTTAGTGCCCTTATAAGAAGATGAAGAGAACGGCACTTTCTCTCCCTCCATCATGATAGTATACAGCAAGTAGGTGATCATCTACAAACTGGGAAGTGGGCTCCCACTAGACACTGAATCTTCTGACACCTTGGTCTATGACTTCTGACCTCCAGATCAGTGAGAAATGGCTGTTGTTGAAGCCATTCAGTCTATGGGGTGTGTTCTAGCAGCCCAGGCTGACTAAGAAGTGAGCCCTTCCAAATTTCAAGGGTCTCATGGGGAGGGGTGGAGCTGGAAAAGGAATAAAAGCCCCCTGTTTGTGTGGCTCAATGCAACCTGCTTAAATGACTCTTTTGGCTTAGGACTCAGGACAGGGGGCAGATGAGCACAATGCAGAATTAAGTTGAGAAACTCAAATGCAAAACAACCATAGCTGAAATTGTCTACATTCTTGGTCCAGTAAGTAATAAAGTGATGAGAAAAAAAAGAATCGGGACGCCAGACGCACTGCAGCTGTCCCCTGCAGCTACTCTGCCCCTCCTCCATGGAATGGAATGGCTTCGTTTGTTTTCCTTTCATTATTCATTGTTATGTTTGGGGTTGTTTTTTTTTAATGAAAGGGGGAAAGAAAATATTTCCCCCTTATCATGTGATACAATGGTTTTATTATGTTTTTCAATGAATTGAGAAAGATTTGCCATAAAAGATGTAGGTAAACCCTTTAAATGCAGTTCAAAACATAGGGACAGAATATTTATCGGCAGAGGACCCTCTTCCTCCAGACAAAAGGCAAATTAGCACGAATATATTGGTTTCAAAACTTCCAACAGACATATCCTGCATCATTAGCAACAGAAACGCGTTTTGAGACAAATTCATCCATGACTCTTATCCTGAAGTTCTGAGGTCCCGTACTGGGCAAGGTTTCTCTGGCGCTTCTTGGAATTCATCCTCTTGAGTGGATCCAGGTAAAACGCAAGCAGGACCATGCAACTAAGAATCCACTGTATTTCTTCCTCACAAATTTTATTATGTGGTCTCCTCAAATTGGTCAGTAGGAAAATCAGAATCTAGAAAACTAATGGCAATTCAGGGCATTACTGTTCCTTTTATCTCATACTTTTCTCTGGAATAATAATAGTGGTGATGCAAGACTGGGTAATAGGCGAATAATTGTAGGTGCTACTTATTGGGCAGTTACTGTTTGTCACGTGCTTTGCCTGCTTTATCCCTTGCAACACTCTGAGGCTCACTGTCCCCATTTCACATGTGAGGGCGTTGAGGTGGTCACGTGGAGTCAGGATTCTCTCCTGGGTCTCGCGGGGCCTGGAGTCCAGCTCTCTGCTACTAGACCACTCCTCCATGGTGGTGTATCTTCAGCTTTACATACTCCAGGTGACTTTGCATAGTCATGCTTCTTGTGGACAATTTTTCTCATATTTCTCACAGATAAAAATGAACATATTTTAGAAATGGAAGCTAATTTTTCCAGGATATTTTCACTTTATTTAATCAGTGGAACCATGTGAAGGATGATAGCAACTTATTAAGAGAGAAAATGAGACTAAAGCGTTCACTGTAATGTATTAAAATAACCTTGATATTTTGTCAAGGAGGGAGCAATAGATGGGGAGGAGTTAGAACTGAGAACTGCTGTCGATTTTTACTTTATAAATTATTGTGAGCTTCAAAATATTTTCCTATTGACATACAGTCAATTTAATCTTTTAATATAAAATATCCTAGGGGGTGTTTTTCCCCTTGCTCCTTACTCTTCATCTAAATTATTATTATAAGTAATACTCCTAAACAAATTTGAAATGTTATATTTTTACATTTTATTTATTTATTTTTAATTTTTTGTTGTCATTTTTGTTTTGGGGGGAAGGTAATTAGGTTTGATTTATTTATCTATTTATTTATTTAATGGAGGTACTGAGGATTGAACCCAGGACCTCGTGCATGCTAAGCATGCACTCTATCACTGAGCTATGCCTTCCCTGCCTCCAATGTTATATTTTTTCAAAATTAGAAATAGATTTAAAACAAAGAAAAAAAATTTGTTTCATAAAAGGGCAGAAACTTGATTAGAAATCATAAGCCTCCATTCTCTGTAATCATATAAATTTAGTTTTCAGCAAAGAAAATTGAATTTATCTCAGTGAATATTTCAGAATGAATGTAATGGTGCTAATATGTGAGTACAAAACCATTTAGGAATGTAACAATGTTGGATACTTTAAATTTTATGAATTAAAAAGGAGATTACTTAACAGCTATTATTGGATCCCTGAGTTCACTCCCCATATGAAAGGAGGGAGAAAAACAGAGGAAGTAATGAGGGTGAAGCACAATGGGGTGGGGGGTGGCGTGAAGAATGACACCTTAGGGACCAGAGGGGACTGTGGACAAGGCAGCAGTTCACCCTGAACACGTCAGTAGTTGTGGACCTGAGCTTCCTCATCTCTAAGACCACAGGGTTTGTCCAGCCAGCCTCCAAAGACCTTTCCAGATCTGTCTCAGTCTGATATTGTAAAATAAAACTTTTTTCCATTTGAGAAGATTGACATTCAGAAGGGAGGACTGTCAGCAGCAGTGAGTGGCTCTCCACCCGTCCTGAGCCACACTGATGTGTGGCTAGGCTGCACCACATGGCATTACTATGCTAGCTCCAGAGGTGAACTATACCAGCAACATTACTTAAGCGATGCAATGTGAGAGTTGTCACAGATCCACCGATCACTTTAACCAGTTTAGAACAGCACCTTTCTTTGCTAAATAGTCACTTTGTCATATCAAACCAACCAGAATTATCCTGTTGGTTGTCTTTTTAAAAATTTAGCATTATATAATGAATAAATAAGAAATTTATGACTCTAGCTTATTTGCAAAAAGATTGTTCTTAAATGTTTTTATTCTCTTATATCATATAACTAACCTAGTGTCATGGATGATAAGGAAAGCTGCTAGTTAAAGCAATAAGAACTACTAGGTGCTGGACGGTAGTCAGTACCTATTTGAGAAGAGGAGTATCTTCTGTTCACTAGAAATGACTTTCTCTTGTCATGTATCAAGAATTATGAACCCAAAACTTTAAATCTAATACTCATTATTTACACTTGCTCCTTGACATTTATTGAGCCTATACTATGTGCCAGATATCATGCTAAAGCACAGAAAGATGAGCAAGACCCATTCTGTTCCTCCATTGACTTGTAGGGACTGAGGGGAAATAAGACTTGGGTGAGGAGGATGAAGAGCCCCAATGAGGAATAACAAGACCTGAGTTAGGTAGTGATGCTGGACATGAGAAGAGTGATACATCTGAGAGAGATTTGCGAGGTAGAATCAACAGGACTTAGTAACAGCATGTGGAACAAAGGAGGAGCCCAGGAAGATGCAAAGGATTTCTGGACCATGAGAGACAGACAGAGTGATTGGATTTAATGTGAGTCCCACCCTTGTCACTTAAGGTTAGTGCTCAGTTTCACATCTCATCATTAATCAAAAGCCACTGTAAGAACCTGATAGAAGAAATCAGAGGACTTCTGCCTAGGATTCTAGCCAATGAGGTACTAAAGTTTACCATTGGACACTCCATGACTCAGGTTGTTCACATGCCAAATACAAATGATGACTCGCTTTGAGTTTATGATAAACCTAGTGCTGAAGGGCATGGACTACAAGACAGTTTCAGTCTTGGTCATATTTATTGAACAATATGTCTCTTCTTCTACTGAACCTCCCATGGCAAAGGTCAGCCATGAAAGACCTGTAGACAGTCAAGCCCAATGGACTCGTCAATCTACATCTTCCTTGACCTCTCTTCAGCCTTTGGAACTATTGACCACTGTCTCCATGAAATGCTCTCCCTTTGACTTCCATGCACCGTTATCTTTGGTTCTCTTCCTTCTCTGTGGCTTTTCCTCCTCAGTCGCCTTTAAAGGCCCTTTTGCTCTGTTCACCACTTAAAGACCAGTGACCTCACCCCTTTTGGGTTGATGCCTCACACATCCACATCTGTTGCCCAGTCCCCTCTCCTGCTCTAATGAGCTCTACATCTGACTATTTTCCGGTCATGCTCCTGTGTCCCTCAGACACATCAAATTCAAGATGTTCATAATGGAGTTCGTCATCTGCTTGTCCCCAAAACCTGCTCTTCTTCCTGAATCTCCAACTCAGTTGCCAACACTCATGACATGCAGGACAAACTTGAGACCTGGAGTCACCCTTGACTCCACATACCTGAGTCCATCACCATGTCCTGACAACTGTACCTCTTAAATATTTCTCTGTTGTGTCCTTCTTTCTCTATACCAACCGTGATGACCCTGGTTTGCCCCCATCTTCTTTCACTCAGACTTCTGTTCCCAGTCTTGTCTTTCTTAAGAAGTATCCTCCACTCAGGCTCAAGAATGAGCTCTCTAAAGTTCAAATCTGTGCTTATCATTCTCTGCTTTAAATCCTTCTGCTGTTCCCCTTCACACAGGATACAGTCAAGCTCCTTCGCATGACATCCATGTACACTCAGCTCCTCTCTGAGCATGTGAGTTCCTCCAGGACAAGGACAAAGATGAGCAGGAAAGGTGGGAGTATGAGAGTCAAAAGAGGAGCAGGGTAGCAGGTTGCAGTACTCATTGTCATTTTTATGTCTTCCTGGCTACAGTTAAAGTCTTACCTAAACCTACAGGAGGCACAGTTCAAATTTAGAAACAGTTCACATGTCATGGGAAAATTTACTATGGTCGTGGAATCCAACAAGAATCTCCAGAAAGGAGTACGTAGAAAAAGTAGATTTAAACTTCCATACCAAGGATCAGTGGTTTATTGAAGAAGAATTGCTTTCAGCATTATTTATGACTCAGGGAGAACCTGATATGCTGTAGTACTTCTGAAGTCAGATTGTTTGAGGGGTAATTGCTTCCTCTATCGCCTGCTTTCTGAGTAGCCTTGAGCAAATCAATATTGAACCTCTCTGAGCCTAAAGTTCTTCATTGGCAAAATAGAGATAACACCATATATGGCAAAATAAAATAACATACTTACTATTTAGAGTCCTACACTGAGCATGGTAGTTGATAGATCCTTAAGAAATGTTTGCTATCTTCCCCTCACTTCTTTTTTTCTTTTAATTCTTATTTTTTTATCGCAGTCAATTTAAAATGTTAATTTCAGGTGTATAGCGAAGTGATTCAGTTATACGTATGTACACATACATATTTTTTTTTCAGTTTGTTTTCCATAATGGCTCATTACAAGACATTGAATATCACTCCCTGTTCTATAAAGTAGGTCCCTGTTGTTTATCTATGTTATATATAGTAATTTGAACCTGTTAATCCCAAACTCCTATTTAAATTCTTGACTCTAAGTCGAAGATTTCAGAAAGTGCCCTTTAGCCTTCTATATTTTTTGAAAAACCCCAAACCAATCCAAACCAGACAAAAAACAGCAAATGACCGAAGGAGATAGTCTACAGAGAGTCCCCACTCCTTAGACAGCCCTTGCCCACAAAAGTAACGGTTCTTCCAGACTGTTTCATGCTTATGTCAGATATTTTATTACACATATATTTCTTTTTTTATTTCTCTCTGCCATCCCCTTCCACCAGTGTCACCAATTTTGTTCTCTATGGTGATTCCTCTTAAGTCCTTAAGTGGTACCATGATGTTACTTGAGCCATTCTTCATTGGGTTCCTATGACATAAAAAAGGCTAAATTAAATGTCAGAAGTGACACTCCATTTTCTTTGATAAATTGTAGAAATAAACTATTGTTTTTTTTTTTTCTTCCTAGGGTCAAAAGAATGGGCAATAAATTTGAAGCAATGTTCCTCTTAAACTTATTATACTTGTAACCATTATTTTGAAGTATTTGTAAAATAATTTTGATCTTTAAACTTTTTGCCCTCTATGTTCTTTTAAAATAAAAATGGATAACTGTACATTTTAGCTCGTTTTGATGATCAACCTTGTTTTTTTTCTGATTTACATGCTAGGATATAAAAATTGAAATTGTGTCATCATTGTCATAGAATTTTAAAATCTGAAATTTAAATTGGCAATGAATGAATATTTTCTTTAAATTTCTCTTGTTCTCTGTGTGATGTGTCATTAAGCTGTAATTACATATTACCCAAATTAAGAAAACGTTTTTCTCAGCCTGTCTTCATTGCCATTACCAAAGTGATTCTAAATCTTTAAGTACGGTTAAAACTTTGGATTGTGGCCGTAATGAGAAGGGTCTTCTGCAGGGGGAGTATGGCCTCCCTCCTGGCCTCTCCATCGCTTCTCTTTGACACTTATGACAGTTTAATTAATCACAAGGGACCTTAGAGACACTTTAGACCAACTTTTCATCAAATGACCCAAGATCTGTATGCTCCTGACCACTCAGTCATTCCCGAGAGGCAACCCCAGTCTGCTTCTTAGTGGAGCTGAATATAAGAGGTCTTTGTGGTTTTGGCCAGAGACTCTCTTCTTAGTTTCTCTTTCTCGGTCCTGCATCTGTAATCCCTGATAGCACAGCGCAGTGGTTCTCAAATGTGGTGCCAAGCCTGGCAGCATCCACATCAGCTGGGAACTTGTAAGAACTGGAGACACTGGCGTTGGGTCCCACCAGTCTGTTTTAGGAAGCCCTCTTCCAGGTGACCCTGATGTGCACTGAAGTTGCAGAAGCACTGGTTCAGTGAAGCAGAAAGTAGGTGTAACTTTATAATGGAAAATACCTGGATTCAGATCCTGGCCCTCTGTTATTTTAGGCCATTGCTTCGGTTTCCTCCCTAATCAAATGGAGCTGATGCGTATCGTTAATTCTCAGAATTAACTGAGAGAATTCCATGCCACTGAAAGGGTCAAGCACACAGCAGAAAGTCTAACACACCCTAAGTACTCAAAAGTAACGTCTAGTGATAGTGATTCATTCAACACATTTATTAGATTCCTTTGAACATGAGTCTATATAAAGTCCCTTCTTTTGAGAAAGAAGTGCAGAAAATGTTAGACATAAAATTAATGTTAAACACCTTCACTTTACAAATGAAAAGTATAACATTCAGAGAGGCTATGGACAGACAGCTCAACCACTGGTGTCTGGAAGTCCTTTTAGTACCTTTTAGTGCTCAGCTCTTCAATCAACACATGTTTATGTCACTTAATGCAGAAGAAGATCTCTATTCCTGGGCCTGGTGATTACACAAATAGGGACTTCAAATTTATCAATGTACTGTCTGAATTAATTTTAATATTAATTGAGCATTTCCAGCTAGTATTGGGCACCATGGATATTTACTTATTCACTTATATTTTGCTTTCCTATATATATCTTATTCAGTTCTGAAAGGATTTAAGGTGACTGTTGGGCATTTTACCAAAAGTTGGGGTTCCAGTCGCTATAGCCCTGACTGCAGGACCACTGAAGTCCAATAGTTCTTCCTAGAAGTTTTGCAAGAGGTTCTCAGTAAAATGTGCACAATTCTGAGGATCTCAAACAGATACACAAGAGAAGGAGGCCCGTACCATGCAAGCACTTTAGGTTAACTGGAATTCCACGTATAACTTGTTAATCAGAGATCAAGAACTACGTGGGGTTAATTCTCGCCCTTGCATTTACAAAGAAATGGGCAGACATTTTGCTCTGCCCTTGCTGGGGAGAACTAAATGGTTAACGTTCACCATCGTGCACCCGCAAAAAAAGTCTGCTCTACAGACTGGAAGGAACAAGGCACCTTTACTTTAAAGGTTTCCAGTTTTGTGGGGCTGTTGATATTACTGGACTAGTGACAGACACCAAGGCGGGAAAATAGGCTGGGTTACTTAAAACTCTTTGAATGTGGACACATCAGCTTGTGGGAAGGAAACTATTTAAAATGGGGCTTAGGGAAAGAAGAAAAAAATCCCCTTTCCCCATATGAGATTCTTCCATAGTGTTGTCATGCAATCTTGAAAACCTCCATACAGCAGATTACTCTCATTGGATATATGCAAATTATCTAAGACCCAGTGGTTTCCTGCCAGGGAAAAACTTATAATAACAGAGCAAGAATGCAATCTGAGCCCTCGCTCTCTGAAACCCCTGAAAGAACAGAGTCGTTCTTGACAGGGCAATTTCAGCCCTTGACATTCCAGGAAATAGCTTAATAATGTCATTTAGGCTGGGGTTATAACCAATCTTAAGACATGGAGACACAAATGCAGTATGTAAAATTTTAAATATCAGTTCAGGGACCATTATTCACTTTCACACAGAGTTTAACAGCAAAGACCACCACCACAAAACAAAAACTAAGCAAAGCATCCTAATTAAATTTAATGTCCCCACTAATTAAACCCAATATAGGAAAAGGAAATGTTTCTGCCAAGAAATTACAGACACATCCTGAAGACTATTTCCTTTTCACTTACTCTCCTAAGTCCTGGGCCCATGCCATATCCAGGATGTGACACCCAAAGAAAATTGTATTTTGATCGTTAATATCTATGCAGAAGTTACTCCCATCCTGAAGCCTCAGAGGCCTTTATGAGACACACTGGCCTTCACATTCAATGTGTTTCATTTTTTCTGGGTGCAGTACAGCTGAAAAGGGTTACAAGACTCAGGTTAAAAGTCAGGAAATGGATCAGGGCCCCACGTTATGACATCATTTTCTTGCAATGCAATGAAGCAATGACATTTCCTGCAGGAAAAATGATTAGAGCTGACAAGTGGCCTTCGTTAGCCGCAGTGTTTGCAGTGGAAGGTGTCAGGCTTGCCTTGCTCCAGCTCCTACACCCTCCCTCCTGTTCTTTGGCTGAGGCTTCCCCCAAGGTCACGGGGAGAGAAAGAAAGACCCAGGCCACTTCTCTTTAGTGACAGTCCTGATATATTTAAAATAAAGATGTGCTAAAATGTGGTTACAAAAATGGTGGATTTTTTTTCATTGTTAAAACAGTTACTACTTTAGACCAGAAAATATAATTTTACCACTTACAAAATGATTTCCAGATCTGTTTTAAAAAATGATATATAGGCAGAGCCACCAGGATCGTGCCAGTCAGCCAAAAGCAGAGCGAGGATTCAAAGCTGGCTCACCCTCGGATTACCAAACCATGATTGCTGGTGCTGGGTTGGCTCTGCCTGTTTTGGATTCACACAAAAGTTTCACAACCAGTGATAGATGGTCTTGTACTAGGACACAGTCTGAAGGTGAAAGATGAACCAGTCTTCCGCTTTCAATCCTGGGTGTCTCTGTGACTGTAGGTGGAACATCTTCAGGGGGATCTCCAGCAGTGTCAGTTTGAGGACCTGCCTACTTGTGAGCTCTCAGCCAAATCTGCCTCCTGGCAGGGTCACCCAGGCACATAGGGAGCCCTTTTGGGATTTATGAGCCAATATGGGCATTGTGAGGTACCCGGCTTGGCGAGAGGTGCTCTGGGGAAGGATTCAGCCTGGCCAAGTGCGTAAATGTAGTGGCCCTGCTGTTCCTCATACAGCAGACCCTGCTGAACTCCACATGCAGACAGACCAGCTCCAGTCCTTAAGACCAATTTAGAGATCTGAATTGTGGCAAGACTTATTTAAAAGCTCTGGCCAACCCACTGGGACTCCACATCAAATCGCCCTTGCTTCTCCGCATGTGGCCGTGTGACTGGGTGCAATAACTGGGTTTCTGCCTTATACATGGACTCCGGTGGCTGGGTGTGCGGTGACTGTGCCTGGGAACAAGTGTCTGTTCCCTCGGCTTGCAGGAACCTTGCCCTTCTCGAACCCACAGGCCTGCCCCATAAACAAACACAGCGAGGGGTCCGGCCTCAGGTTCTTCTGTCACGTTTCTTGTACTTGGCACCCTTCTGGGGGCCCCCTGGGAGTTAGCCCAGCCCAGTTAGAGCAGACTGCAGGTACAACCGAAGAAAACAGCTTCCCGAGGCTTCTTTTGTCCATTTCAAAAATTAATACTAAGTCATTTTTGTGTCAATGGAGGAGACTGAGCAGGAGTGAAAAGTTTCTACTATAAAAAAAAAAAATCAAACACTTATGACTTAAGAAATGGAAAAATCCTAGAACCCAGGATGGATTTCTTCATTAGAAGCAGTGTTTCCAGATACTGTGCTAGGACCCAAACAGATCTAAGGTCTCGATGGCAGTTGAGTGGGTAGGTGTCACG